CTCAGCACCATATCACACTTATTCAACCTTGACCACATAGTTGGAAGTAAAGCACTCCAAAGCAAACCACATCGCACTTATTCCAAAATTGTCCACAAAGTTCGAAGGAAAGAACTCATCAGCAAATGTAAAAGAATGGAAATTATAACAAACTGTCTCTCAGACCACAGTGCAATCAAACTAGAACTCGGGGTTAAGAAACTCACTCAAAACTGCTCAACTACATGGAAACTGAACAACCTGCTGCTGAATGACTACTGGGTACATAATGAAATGAAGGCAGAAATAAAGATGTTCTTTGAAACCAATGAGAACAAAGACACAACATACCAGAATCTCTGGGACACATTTAAAGCACTGTGTAGAGGAAAATTTATAGCACTAAATACCCACAAGAGAAAGCAGGAAAGATCTAAAATCGACACCCTAACATCACAATTAAAAGAACTAGAGAAGCAAGAGCAAACACATTCAAAAGCTAGCAGAAGGCAAGAAACAACTAAGATCAGAGCAGAACTGAAAGAGATAGAGACACAAAAAATCCTTCAAAAAATCAATGAATCCAGGAGCTAGTTTTTTGAAAAGATCAGCAAAATAGATAGACCACTAGCCAGACTAATAAAGAAGAGATAAGAATCAAATAAATGCAATAAAAAATGATAAACGGGATATCACCACTGACCCCACAGAAATACAAACTACCATCAGAGAATACTATAAACACCTCTAAGCAAATAAACTAGAAAATCTAGAAGAAATGGATAAATTCCTGGACACAGACTCCCTCCCAAGACTAAACGAGGAAGAATTTGAATCTGAATAGACCAATAGCAGGCTCTGAAATTGAGGAGATAATTAATAGCCTACCAAAAAAAAAAATCCAGGACAAGATGAATTCACAGCCGAATTCTACCAGGGGTACAAAGAGGAGCTGGTACCATTCCTTCTGAAACTATTCCAATCAATAGAAAAAGAGGGAATCCTCCCTAACTCATTTTATGAGGCCAGCATCATCCTGATACCAAAGCGTGGCAGAGACACACCAAAAAAAGAGAAATTTAGACCAATATCCCTGATGAACATTGATGCAAAAATCTTCAATAAAATACTGGCGAACCAAATCCAGCAGCACATCAAAAAGCTTATCCACCATGATCAAGTTGGCTTCCTCCATGGGATGCAAGGCTGGTTCAACATATGCAAATCAATAAATGTAATCCATCATTTAAACAGAACCAAAGACAAAACCACATGATTATCTCAACAGATGCAGAAAAGACCTTCCATAAAATTCAACAGCCCTTCATGCTAAAAACTCTCAATAAATTCAGTATTGATGGGACATGTCTCAAAATAATAAGAGCTGTTTATGACAAACCCACAGCCAATATCATACTGAATGGGCAAAAACTGGAAGCATTCCCCTCAAAATCTGGCACAAGACAGGGATGCCCTCTCTCACCACTCCTATTCAACATAGTGCTAGAAATTCTGGCCAGGGCAATCAGGCAGGGGAAAGAAATAAAGGGTATTCAATCAGGAAAGGAGGAAGTCAAATTGTCCCTATTTGCAGATGACATGATTGTATACTGAGAAATCCCCATCATCTCAGCCCAAAATCTCCTTAAGCTGATAAGCAACTTCAGCAAAGTCTCAGGATACAAAATCAATGTGCAATAATTATAAGCATTCCTATACATCAATAACAGACAGAGAGCCAACTCATGAGTGAACTCCCATTCACAATCGCTTCAAACAGAATAAAATACCTAGGAATGCAGCTTACAAGGGATGTGAAGGACCTCTTCAAGGAGAACTATGAACCACTGATCAATGAAATAAAAGAGGACACAAACAAATGGAAGAACATTCCATGCTCATAGATAGGAAGAAGCAATATCGAGAAAATGGCCAAACTGCCCAAGGTAATTTATAGATTCAATGCCATAGCCATCAAGCTACCAATGACTTTCTTCACAGAATTGGAAAAAAGCTACTTTAAAATTCATATGGAAACATAAAAGAGCCTGCATTGCCAAGACAATCTTAAGCCAAAAGAACAAAGCTGGAGGCATCACGCTACCTGACTTCAGACTATACTACAAGGCTGCAGTAACCAAAAGAGCATGGTACTGGTATAGATCAATGGAACAGAACAGAGCCCTCAGAAATAATACCACACATCTACAACCATCTGACTTTTGACAAACCTGACAAAAACAAGAAATAGGGAAAGGATTCCCTATTTAATGAATGGTGCTGGGAAAACTGGCCAGCCATATGTAGAATGTTGAAACTGGATCCCTTCCTTACATCTTATACAAAAATTAATTCAAGATGGATTAAAGACTTAAGTGTTAGACCTAAAACCATAAAAATCCTAGAAGAAAACCTAGGCAATTCTATTCAGGACATAGGCATGTGCAAGGACTTCATGACTAAAACACCAAAAGCAATGGCAACAAAAGCCAAAATTTACAAATGGGATCTAATTAAACTAAAGAGCTTCTGCACAGGAAACCAAACTACCATCAGAGTGAACAGGCAACCTACAGAATGGGAGGCAATTTTCACAATCTACCTATCTGACAAAGGGCTAATATTCAGAATCTGCAAAAAACTTAAACAAATTTACAAGAAAAAAATCAAACAACGCCAACAAAAATTGGGCAAAGGATATGAACAGACACTTCTCAAAAGAAGACATTTATGCAGCCAACAGACACACGAAAAAATGCTCATCATCACTAGCCACCAGAGAAATGCAAATCAAAACCACAATGAGATACCATCTCACACCTGTTAGAATGGCAATCATTAAAAGGTCAGGAAACAACAGGTGCTGGAAAGGAGGTGGAGAAATAGGAACACTTTTACACTGTTGGCGGGACTGTAAACTAGTTCAACCATTCTGGAAGACAGTGTGGCGATTCCTCAAGGTTCTAGAACTAGAAGTACCATATGACCCAGCCATCCCATTACTGGGTACATACCCAAACGATTATAAATCATTATAAAGACACATGAACACATACGTTTATTGTGACATTATTCACAATAGTGAAGACTTGGAACCAACCCAAATGTCCATCAATGATAGACTGGATTAAGAAAATGTGGCACATATACACCATGGAATACTACTACACAGCCATAGAAAAGGATGAGTTCATGTCCTTTGTAGGACATGGATGAAACCGGAAACCATCATTCTTAGCGAACTATGGCAAGGATGGAAAACCAAACACTTCATGTTTTCACTCATAGGTGGGAACTGAACAATGAGAACTCTTGGACACGGGTTGGGGAACATCACACACTGGGGCCTGTCGTGGGGCGGGGGGAGGAGGCAGGGATAGCATTAGGAGATATACCTAATGCAAATGATGAGTTAATGGGTGCAGCACACCAACATGGCACATGTATACATATGTAACAAATGTGAACATTGTGCACATGTACCCTAGAACTTAAAGTATAATAATAAAAATTAAAATAAAATAAATGTCAGGGTGTATTACTCCCTTGCTTCAAATCCTCCATTTATAATTTATTTCACATTTATAACAACATCCAGACTTCTTCATATGGCCAACCAGGTGCTTCATGCTAATGAAATGTGTAGAGGCTCCTCCCTCAGGAGCCCATTTTTCCAGAGCAAATTCTCTACCTCCAGTGATGTCTGTCACTTTCGACACCACCATTCTCTAGCACCTCTTGCTTTTCATAGATCTTTTTCTTCCAGATTCTATAATGAAAAGTAGATTAAGTCTCCTTCTGCAATGATTTACTCTCCGATGAATATTGGTGCCAGTCACGTGTACTGCTTTCAGATACAAGAATAACAGTGATTTGAGAAAGCTGTCGTTAGGTTTCCTCTTCTCTTTTTCTGTATGACATTCTTTTTACAAGTACACTTCCAAAGTTTGCTATTTCCAAACACCACAAGACCCATGTAATTTAAGAAGTGATTTTAGGGCTCTCCCTAGATTTTACGTTAAGTTCAGAAACATGCTCATGATTATTCCACCAAAACTATCAACTTTTACATAAACATCTGTCCTTCTATGAGTTACAAAATAATTGTCACCATACCCCCTTAATCAACCATCCCTCACCCGATACTGAAGGCATCTCATGCTATTCAGCTTCTTAGACAGTAAGACGTTCTATTATTAAATAGTAAGATGTTTTCTCAAGCCCCATGCAAAGCACTTCTTTGATTATCAGTTTGGGGATACCCAACTGTGGAGTCTTCATCCTAAGGGAAAAGTTCCGCACTCAGTAATGCGCCTCCTGAGAACCAGGCCTAAGCAGTGCTGGCCGCTTCCTCCTCCAGGCTGGCATTGTCCGTGTTCGCCAGCCCCTCCACGAAATTAGCTCATTTGCGGAGCAGGCCAAGTATCTGTAGACTTCACGCAGACACGGGTGCAGCCTGCTCTGAGACTTGCAGTCCACTGGAAGTTGGGCCTCTGCATCAACCGGGTGGAGCTCTCTCTCTGCTGCTGCCAACGGACCCCGCCTGGATGCTCTTCCCGCCACCGCTGTCCACCCCGCAGCGGCAGACCAGCAGCAATGGCCACACACCGAAGCACCTTGGTGGGCTGTTCGACCTGCAGCTCCCGCCAGCGCGAATCCAAAGTCGGGGAAAGCGCGAAACCGCCAGGCGCCTCCCATTCCTGCCCAGCTGTCCGCAGCTCCTCCTTGGCCTCCAACGGGAGACAGGGGACACCCATGAGTAGGAAGGAGCAGGGCGCTGATTGCTTAGTTTTCCAGACAAATAGGGAGGGTGGGCAGGCATTTCCCTCAGCCCGGCCTTCCGACACACCCACCCGCGCGCAGGCCAGCCCTCTCATCCCTTCCGGTTGCTTCCGTCACTATCTGGGGCGATGTTAATTGGCTTCCACGTGAATGACAGATGAGTCATTTACATCCAATGAGAGAAAAACAGCCTCCAGAGACTCTTCGTCCTTTGGCCAGCGAGAGCGTCCCTCTCCAGGCTCCTCCCGCTCGAGGGCGTGCCCTTCCAGGCGGGAAAAGTTAAGCTGAGAGAAACATCAGAGCTGTCTTCCCAGCACCTGTGAATCCAGAGCGGCGGGCACCGGCACGTGCACTCTGTGGACAGATTCTCCGGTTCTGAGAGTGGTTTTTCTTTTCCTGGGTCGGACCTGGAGTTCTTAGGGGGATGGCTGCCAAGGGCAGTAGGCAGGAGGACCTCAGCCCAAAGCCAGAGCGGTTTTGGATGGGAAGCTGGACAGCTGCCCATTGTGATAATTCCCCTCCCACTTTCTCAGCTTCAAAGGCCAAGAGTTTTACTCCTGGAAAGATACTTGGAGATCGTCTGGGTTTTCCGGAATCTCAAGAGGGTCATTTGACCCTGGTGGGTCCTTTCCCTGCCCGGTGCTGTTCGCGCGCATTGAAGGAGACCAGGTTCGGTTAAGCAGAGCAGAACCTATTCACTGATCAAAGAATAGAGTAGGGGAGCACCTGCTCAAAGTGCCTGGGGTGTAGTGTGGGGGTGCTTCTAAGGTCTTTTAGGGCACGTAGTTAGAGAGTAAGGATTCCGGGAAAGAGATGGGGCTTTCCAGAAAGCGCTGAGTGTGGCAGTCTCATATTTCCTGTTGCACCCCAACACTACATGTGCCTAGCAAGCTGCATTTCTCCCCAGGGCAAAGATTTAGGTATGGTAATTAGCAAGGATTCAGGTTAGGGTAGCACTTCTGAGTTTCTTTCCCATCTTGTAGCATGGTGGTTACTGACATCCAGTCTGTTTCTGTAAGCAAGCACAGCTTCAAGCACAGGTGACCTTCATAGGTTCTGGGGCTTTAGGAAAGCATTGAGGTCATCCTGCGGTGACAGAGGCAGCTGTTCAAACAATGTGGTGCACGTTTGAGAGGGGAGTTGCGGGGTGAGGCAGGTAAAAGTGCAGATTCCATAGCCACACCCCGACATACAGAATCAGAGTCTGTGAGGGTGGGATCTGGAATCCTTTTTAAAAAGCTCAGAGGAACCAATTCACACGAACAATACAAGTTTGATCTGAGCCAAAGTCCTTAATCTAGAAATGAGAAAACGGGGATCCCTAAAAGGGTTACAGGGAGAGGGCTGGAGGAAAGTTCGACTATGACAGTTTTAGGGTGGTTCTTTCCTGGCCTTGGGAAGTTTTCTCAGCTGCTACTCTGATTAGTACACAGCTGGAAGCTTTAGGGCAACCCTCTTCATTTATCTGGAGTTCCCTCTCTGTGCGGGTCTCCCACCATATCTGTGACCTGTGACCTCTTGTCACCCTGGTCTCTCAGCTTTGTCTCCTCAAATCTGGAATTCCAACTAGCTTTGTCTTGCTGCCCTTGCCTGCGACACTGGCCTGGAATCCCTCAAGGTAGCCTGCTACAGTGGATTATAGGATGCATTTCAATTGTCACTGTCTTTATCTGAATGATGTCCAGTTCCTTGCAAAGCATTGTTTCATATATTTTGCCAATTTTTGTTTCGCTTTGTTTTCAGACTAGGGGGAAATCCAGTTCCTGTTACTCCATTTTGGACAGAAATTCAAGGTAATGACTTTTAATATTTCTGACTACTAGTTCTATCATGTCTCTCACTTCTGGATCTGTCTCTATTCACTGATGTTTCCAGTCATTATAGGTCATATTTATCCACTTTTTAAGTGCTTGCTGATTTTTTGATTAGTTATCAAGCTTTGTTAATTTCACAACTTTGAGTGCCAGAAATTTTTACATTCCCGTCAATATTCTTGAGCTTTGTTCTAGTACCTTGATATTTTACATGAAAACCATTTTGTAATTTCAAAGTTTGCTTTTATTTGTCAGGTGGGAGCAGAACTAGTGCTAATTTTGTCCGACTATGGAAGAAATACCTTTCAGAGGTGTCTCCCGGATACTTCATGAATTGTGACATTTTCTAGTCAGATTTTTGTGAACTGAAACTATTCCCAGTCCTGTATAAGCCTCAGAAATTGTTACATCTGTTCCTTTTGGGTACTTCTTTTTCCTGTTCCTTTTCAACAGTTTCATTCCACTAATGCATTGATCAAGCTGAAATCTCAAAGGATACCCACTGCAGATCTCTGACACTGTGTGCTCCTGTGGCTTTCTTCTCCGTAGTACTCTGTCATACAAGTTCCAGTCATCTTGGCCTCCCCAAACTCCCAACTTGTCTTCTCCGCTCAGGGAAACTGCTAGACTCTGCCTGTTTCTCCTTCCTAAGATATGCCTTGCAAACTCCATACAGGAAGCTAGATAGCCATAGGGGTTACCTCATATGATTTTCTTCTCAGATATCAGAGATGAGGTCAAACACAGCCTGATGTCCAATGATTGAAAGTTGTTATTTCATAGATCTTGTCTTTTTTTGTTTTTTGTTTTTAGACATTCCACATGGCAGAATAAACTCAATCCTTGTTTCTCCATCTTATCCACTAGTAGACATTAGTTATATTCTCTTTGAACTCATCATGAGTTCCACGAAGACTGAAGAAAACAAGTCATTTAGTGGCACGGGAGATGACCAGAGGACTAGACCTGAAGTTTCAAAGGTATATCTACATTTTTACAACTCCCCACAGGAGTGATTGTCCTTTCATCCCCTTAGTCCTGTTTTGGGAGGGAGGGAAAAGTTTACAATTTTGATGAAGTTCATTTCTCTATATTTCTCTTTGTGGATCATGCTTTTGTTTTTTATATCAGAGAATTCTGCTAAATCTAAGATCACAAAAATCATTTCTAAGTTTTCTTCTAGAAGTTGTATAGTTTTAGGTTTAAGTCTACAATTGATTTTAAGTTTTATTTTAATTTTTTTGTATGGTGCAATACCTGGATCAAAGTTTGTGTGTTTGTGTAAAGTGTGTGTTAATTGTGTAAAAATAGTTAACTCAATAGTGGATGATTAGCATCTTAGCATTGTTGAGTCTTCCAATCCTGAACAAGGTATATTTCTCCATTTATTTTGGTCTTGTTTAATTTCTTTTGCTGTGGGGCACCTGGGAGAATACGCAAACCTGGTGGATTAAGGCAGATCAGGGAATGGAGGTTTGAAGGAGCAATGGGACTGGTGCACTACTCTTTTCAAGGCCAGCAAACAAGGCAAGAACTAGAAAGACCACAAGTATAAGGCACGAGTGACCGAGAAGGTTAGCCATCCTGGCATCATGCAGCTTTAAGATTGTCCAGTAAACTGTGAGTGGCTCCTCCTAGCAGACTTTCTGCTATTACCTCTGGGTTTCTGGAGTGTGTCTGCACTGTCTTGCCCCTTTGACCAGAAACCCTTGCTTCCTCTACACTCCCTGAATTCCTCAAAGGACAAACTTCCAGCACTAGAATCTCCCTCCCCAGACAAAATATCTGCACAGATGTAGTCATGTCTCCATCAGGGGCCCCCAGACTTATAGACCCCTGGAAACTGAATGGTCAAGATGAAAAGTTATTGGGACTTTTGTATGCCAGATGCGACAGTCTGCTGGGCACTTTATCCAAGTCTTATGGGAGTCTCACCACAGCGGGAGGAAAATGTTTTCCAATTTAGCATTCTTTCCCATGCCCAGCCATGCAGTTTTTGCATGACCATACCTAAACCCGCATTTGCCTCCTTAAAGGTTAGTTCTCCTAGCTCATGGAGATCACCTATAATGTGACTTATAATTGGGGTTTGCGGGCCAAATAAGATCTCATAGGATGAATACCCAGTTTGTTTGGTGAGGGTGCACCTGACTCGGAGGAACACCATGGGCAAGACCTGATCCCACCTCAGATGAGTTTCCTGACAAAGTTTCTTCAGCAGCTGCTTGAGTGTCCAGTTCGTACACTTCACTTTTCCTCAGCTCTGCAGCCAGTAGGCTGTGTGTAACTTCCATTTTATTTTTAATAGCCAAGTGAAGTCCTGAACTATTTCAGCCATAAATGCTGGTCCATTTTCTGACCCCAGAGTAAGGGTTAGTCCAAATCTGGAAATAAGGTCTTTTAACAACACCTTGGTTACCTCTCATGCCTTCTCTATCCAGGTCGGGAAAGCCTCAACCCACCCCAAAAAGGTGCAAATGAACACCAACATGTACCGAGAGCCCCTGCTCAAGGCAGCTCGTTAAAATCCAGAAACAAATTTTCACAGGATGTGGCTCCCATCTCCAGAATTCCCGGGGGCTGGGTAGGCCTGTGCTGAGGGTTGTTCTTGGCACATGTTAGATATTGTTCACAAACTCCTCAGGTAATGGCAGTGAGCTGTGGCACATAGCAATGGCGTCTTAGCAATTTTTCTAGTGCCATTGTTTTCATACGAGTTCCTTGTTGGAACTGTTTCACAAACCTGGGGGCCACCATTTCAGGTGTGGCTAGCCTCTCATCAGAGAATTTTCACCACCCTCCTCTAATGTAATTCCCAGTCTCTGGGGCAAACCAGGTTCTTTCATTTGAAGTGTAGCTTGGGGTCTCCGGGAGGGGATTTCCGGGAGGAGAGGCATAGCTAAGGCTTCTACTCTAGAAGGCAGAGTTGCCATTGCTGCCCATTGTGCCTCTTCGTCTGCCTTCCTGTTTCCTTTTGCTTCTAGTGTTCCTGCTTTTGGGTGCCCTGTGCAGTGCATTACTGCCACCTGTTTTAGGACCCATACAGCATCTAAGAGCTGTAGAATTTCTTCCTTGTATTTTATTTCCTCTTCTCCTGCAGTTAAGAGTCCTCTTTCTTTGTAAATCTCCCATGAACATGCAAAGAGGCAAAAGGATATTTGGAATCTGTGTAAATATTTGCTCTTTGGTCTTTTGCTAGCCAGAGAGCTCTTGTCAGAGCTATCAGCTCTGCCTTCTGATCAGAAGTTCCTGTAGGCAAAGACTTCACCTGTACTACTGAGTCCAAAGTCACCACTGCATGCCCCGCTCAGCAGACCCCCTCTAGTATAAAACTGCTCCCATCAGTAAAATACTCAATGTCCAGGTCCCCAAGGGGTCAATCTGTCAAATCTCTACTGCTTGAGGACACTTCATCTAGCACATCCACACAGCAATCAAGGTGGCCTCCTGGCACTGACTCAACGGGGATCAAGGAAGGCGGGTTTAGGGTGTTCACAGTCTCTAAAGTTAAGCTGGGATTTTCACGTAGGAGCCCTTGGTATCTAGTCATTTTCAGATTTGATAACCAGTGGTTCCCCCTTTGGTCCATCAAAGTTATAACTGAGTGTGTTACCCAGATTGTCAGTTGCTGTCCTAAAGTCAGTGTATTCGCTTCTTGCACCAGTAGGATGGTGGCAGCTAGCACCTTGAAACAGGGAGGCCATCCAAGTGCCACAGAATCTAGTTGCCTGGACAAGTGTGCCACCAGGTGTTGCCATGATCCTATGACTTGAGTCATAATTATCCACACTTGTGGATAATTAACATGGTGAATAAAGTAGTTCTACTAGTGATTAAAGCCCAGGTGCCCTGGTTTAAAGCAAATACCATTAGGGGGCAATAACCTTGGTCAACCTCCCCCTGAAAGGGCCATCTGGCTCACAGATTAGTTAATGGAGGTAGAGTAAACAGACTTAACTGGGGAAGCCTCTATTTTTCCTAGTATTTACCCTATGACCTAATGCTCTAAGGTAAAAACCGGCTGCTTTCAGCCTGTTCAATTATTACGAGCAATATAACCTTTTGGTCTTCCAAAAAGGTTTGTGACTATTGCCTATAACTTTCCCTAATATTTCCCTTTAATATTTCTGTCATCCTCCTGAGTGAATCCCAACAATCCAGCCCAATGGTGAATAGAACCTGCTGGAGCAGACATTCTTGCCTTTTTTCTAGTCTTGGGAATGCCGATACCATTAAGTATGATGTTACCTGTAATTTTTCATAAGTGATCTTCATGAGATTGAAGAAGTTTCCTTTTATTCCTAGGTTGCTGACATTGTTAGAAATAGATGTCAGGCTTACCAGATGCTTTTTCTATGTCTGTTGAGATGATTCTATGTACATATAGAAATTTTAATTTTTCTAATTGGCTTATTACAGTGATATATTTTTCAAAAGTTAAACCAATCTTGCATTCCTGGTATTTACCTATTAGATCTTGCATTTATGTTTATATTGGCCTGTAGTTTTCTTTTCTTGTAATGTTTTGCCTGTATATTATAGAGCTAATATTTCCCTATTGCTGAGGCAATGTTCTTTTCAGTATTGTACTCAATGCCGCAGGAATTATGATGTTTTCCCAAGGTCTGGTGGGAACAGCAACTATTCCCAGCCCTGTAAGATCTCCAGGGATTGTTCCTTCTAATCTTTTTGGGTAGCTGATTTCCCTGACTTAGGTGATTTCCTCACATGCATGTGCAGATCACTACTCATATGAAGATTCATGGGGACCCTCTCTGTACAGTCCTCTCCTGCCTTCGAAAGCTAAACCCATTGGCTCCCCAGAGCTCAGTTCCTTTTCCTCAACTCAGTTGCTACTGAGGTTTGCCTGGATTCTTTTCTCTGCACCATGGCCTAGAGCCTCTCTTCAGGCAGTAAGCTGGGGGAGTCAAAGAGTTTGCATCATTGTTTCTCTGTTTCTCAAGGATAACTGTCCTTCTTTGACTAATTCTCAGTATATTGAAAACCATTTAGTACATTCTGTCCACTTCTCCAGGATTTTCAGGCAGGAGTATAAATTAGTTCTGTGTTATTCCACAGTGGCCAGGGTAGATGTTCAGGATGCTGCTTTTTTTTCCCCAAAGGATTTTGCTTTAATTGGTAGAATTAATGGGCTATAAATGGCTTACTTTATCTTGGCTGCACCTATAACTATCAAATATATAAATATAAGCATACCAGAAGGCTTCTTAGCCAGATTAAGGGCAACTTCAAAAATCTCACAGGGAACATCATGTGAAATAGTGAATCGGTATAAGTATTTCCTTTACAATGAGGGAGAATAGAGGAGTGCTCACTACTACTGCCTTTATTTACTGATAAATAAAATTTATTTTAGCCAATGCTGTGTGATAAGAAAAATTAGTAAAAGATAATATTTGAAGATTGAAAAGAAGGGAACAAAGCACATTCATGAAATATCCATAGATGACATCATCATCTATTTTTGAAACTAACAAGATTTATAGAGAAAATATTAGAATGATTGTAGTGTGGTAAATTGGCTAGGTTTAAGGTTGATATTTCCAAAACAATGAATTTAGCTTAGTCAGTAATATCACAAAATGTAATACCCCCAGAATTATTTTATAATGGCTAAAATAAAAAAAACATTATTTACCTAGAAATAAATGTAAAAATGATTTAACCATTTATAGAGAAAATTATTTTGTTAAAGACATGAAAATGAGACATAAATCAATGTTAAGATATGCTAATAACTAGGAAAACTCAAAATTAAGACAGTATTTGGTGAATATACAGAAAAAATATACCATTGGAACAGAACAGAGAGAGTAGAAACAGACTCACAAATTAAATGAAAATACCTTTGTATTAGTTTGTGCTATGGTGTGACTCTTTTGCATGCCCCACAATTCATATGTTTAAATCCTAATCTCCAAAGTGCTGGCATGAAGAGATGGGGCTTTGTTGGGTGATT